AAAAACCCTGCAAGGCATTTAACTTGGGAACATGTCACTTTTAAGAGGCGACACTTCACATACAACACAACTGGCTCAATTCTCTGGACAACTGCCGCTGCCACTACTGATGGTGGGAAACCACAGTCCTTAGCCAATGAGACTAACTCAAGGAAAAGGGCCCCAATACTTAAAAAGTATTGCTCACGGTCCCGCAGCGACAGCTCAGAATCCAAGTGAAATCCCAGAAGGTTATACGAGGTGCATTGTAGGCTTGACCCAAATGGCTCACATGAGCTATATTCATGCGTCGGTGTGCAACCGTGCCTTCTTGTAGAACCAAAGCTTGCTCCTCAGTGCGTCGGAACTCCATGCCCACCTGGGAAAGCGCACAGCCCGTGCCGTGCCAAGGAACCTCGATTCCAAATAAACCAGAAAAGTATGGACTGTTCAGTAATCAATGTTTGTTTGCGTAGCAGCGTTTCTGGTTGCTCTGCGCGCGGTCGCTGCCTCCAATTCCACCAATCTCTCAAGCCTCAAGGGCTGACATGCTCCAAAAACTGTGCAACCATCCTCCACACGCACTGTTGGCAAAGACTGCGCAAACTGGATCGAAATGGTACAGGATTGCTCAAGACTCAAGACTGGTCCGCAGCGAACCGATCCAGCCAGCTGAGGATTTCTCAAAGGCGCCCCTTCCAAATGCGCATCAATTGCTTATAAGTAAACAGGATTTCCTTTACACGTCAAGTATCCTACAAGAACTACTGAGCAAGAAAATTGCAGTGAGGACACAACAAAGCATCCATCGTGGGGCTTGCTATGGATCAAAGACCTTCAAAGCTTTCCACCCGTGTCAAGCACAGAAAACCTGGCAGGGCCTTGCAGATTTGGACTTGACCTCACATTCCCATCGTCGAATTGGCCAAGCTGCTGTGACAGCACTAAATAAAGCTCTCCATCTGTCAAACGCGCGCCATTCTCGCACCATACCTCAGGCTACTTAATTAGGCTCTTGCACCTCCGCGTAAGGCTATCCGCCAAGTATCGGGAGAAAGTCAATTGACTTTGAGGCCAAGCTAGTCCAATGTGCTATGTTGGGATTTTCTTGTGAAGGGTCTAAATGCCCGGACACCCAGGCTGGAAATTTGTTCCTGTGTGAGGCTCATAAGCATCACGCAAATGCTGGGAAGACATGCGTAGCCCTTTACAATGACCCAAATGACTGATGTGGACGGGGGTGGACATGTTGAATGAAGCAAAAACGAGAAGAACCTTTGTGGCGCACAGCTCTCTGTGCGGTAAACGCAAACCCCTTCAAATGAACCAATTGAGCAGATGTTCCTCCTACCGCCCCCTGGAAGCACATTGCACGGGTCACCCCGTAAGAGGGAAGATTATACCCGATGTGCTGGTACAGTTGCCCGTGTAAATGGTCAATAATCAGCTAAAGAAAAACTATAAAAGGAAACCCAAAATGATTATAGTCTCTGTTCCTTAGTTGTTTTGAGCCATCCATTTTCTTAAGGGAACAGTAGCAATATAAACGAATGTTTATGTTTCTGCACTTTTAAGCAAAAACAATCAACAAACCAACATTTATGCACTTTTCCTGGACTCTCAAAAGGGCTGCACATGCAGTCAGTGATGCACATGATGCAATGTACATAGATGGAAAATGGTTCGCGCATTTTTCAATATTGATCGGCTTAATTATTGCAATCTATGAGCAACCTGATTTAATTTAGCCAGGAAAAACATACAAAAATGAAACATACAAAATAAACATAACAATTCTAAAGTTGTTTAAGATTATTTTCGCGCCGTATTTACTTGAGTAAGGAACAACATATTAAGAGACAAAAATTAGCCAACAATTGAGCAACAATTAAGAACCATGATTGCACACAATATACACAAAATGAAAACACATAAAAGATAAGAAGCAACATGTTCGGGTCATTCTAGTTATTTTTTGCCCCTTACTTATACAACTGAACAAGGAAAAACTAAGACAATCAACAAACAACAAATCAACATAGTTTGTTGCCCTTTTCTTTTCTGTGTTTCTAATTATATAAATTTAGTGCTCTGATCCTCGTTCGCCCAGGTGCGATTGCATTGGTTTCCTTTCGCCAAGGTGCCAAATCGCCCAGCCGGGTTCCCTGCGAGTCAAGAACAGAGGACAGACCATCCTAAGTTGCATAGCGGCACATGTTTCATGTTGCAAACATGTTGGGCACACATCATCGAGGCCTCTACTCTGGGGCACCATGTTCGTCAATGTCGGTCGTGGACCAACTTCCCCCACACGTACATGGTCGACAAGGGGTCCAGCAGGTCTGAGGTACCACTTTTCAGGGCCACTTCCCCCAATTAATCTGCTTATGCATCCTTGTTCGTTCATCGCTCATGGACACACTTTCCATTTTCTTGAACAAAAAAATTCTTCCAAGTGCCAGAACAAAGCAGCAACCCTCCAAAGAAGAAACAACACATTGTGAAGTAACAAAAATAATCTTGGGTTTGCTATTCAGGGGTGATTTTCAATGTTCGAGTAGTCTGAGTACTCAAAGTAGTCTAGTCTTGGGTTTTCTGGTCCGGACGAATAACGGGGTGCTTATCAATCGTGACTAGACATTGTTGCTCCACAGTGTTCAAGGTATTCAAGAGATCAAAGGCAGGCTGGGTTCTGCGTTGTATTACATCATAGCACGTTTCAGATATTCGCGCAACATCTTTAACTGCAAAGACCCCTCCAGGATGTGAAGCGGCAAAGAAAATGTATTTGTCAGGCTTCCAGAAGGACAAAACCATGGCGCTCAAGGGGCTCAAGGGGCCGTTGTGGTGGAAACAGTTGGGCAATGAATGGCGCATCCCTCGCATTAATTTCTTGGACCTGATAAGAACTCAATACCCGCCAAGTTCAATCACAAGGTCCCGCCCACTGTGCCGTGTTGGAGAGAGCCGGCTCTGCCATGTTGAGCCACGTTGACTCAGAATGCGGTGGCAATCAGCGTGTAATTTCGCAATTACAAGATTCATTTTCGCAATTAACATTTAATTTTCGCTCTTAAACTATGACTTTCGCTATTAAGAGGTACCCTGCACAAACAGGGGTCAAGCTGGTGGGCACAATGGCTGACACTTGTCCAATGGCCCAATGGTGCCTAATGGCGTATCCGGGCAAGGAGTGTGGAAGGGAACACAGGAGGATACCAGTCAGGAGGCGACGCCAAAAGGGAAAAGGGAGACGACAGGCAAACAAAGCCCTTGAGGGGCATGTATGTGAAGGTGAGGAGCCTGGTAACCATAGTCTCTCAAACTCATAGAGAGAGGCCGCCCCCGAAGGGTGCTAATTTTTGTTTGGCAGGGGGGGCGCCCACACGACCTCTACCCCGGCCGGGGCCCCGGGGGGGTGAGAGGGGGCGGGCACGACTACTACTACTTCCTCGTAGCACAGAACCCTTCTTACAACATCGCTACCTGTTAAGGGGGAGGGGACCTAAAAAAATGTAAGTTACATTTTTCCTTGGGGGGGGGTCCTGGTTTGATACGTTAAAAATGTAAGCTTACATTTTTGAAAATAGACGTAGAAAATGTAGGCTTACATTTTCCCGCATAGACGTAGAAAATGTAAGCTTACATTTTTGAGTCTCCAATGCAAGAATACATCAATATATATATGCCGTATCTTGTGGATCAGCATTTGGATTATTTCCAACCCTCATCAACGAAATCTTGTTTGATGTAATCTTGTTATATCTTATCTTGTTTATATATCATCACTTCTGCCATCTTCTGCCTGGTTATGCCTAGAAGCCGACAGATCTCAGCAACTTCAAGAGTGCAGCAAGCTCCAAATTGCTACAAACACGCTTTCCTTCCAGGATTCATTGAGGATTATGTACAAACATCGTATGCTAGTATGTTACATTTTGAGGGGTACCCTGTAAAATGTAGCTACCATGTGCCTAGGTGATATGTTATCTGTTCAGAGGTACCCTGTAAATTGTAAGTTGCCACGTGCCCACATAGTAAGTTACATTTTTACCACCCCCTCCCCCCCTCTCCTGCACTCTGGGGAAGCCCTGCCAGCCCACCTTCCCCCCCCCCAAGAACTTAAACTTCCACTGGTCAATCCTAGGAAAGCCACCGGTTAAAAAGTAGAGGGGGGGTCCAACATACATTTATGATCCCCCCCAAAAATGTAAGTTACATTTTTTTACGTCCCCCTCAAAAACCTAAGGCAAGGGGGCGGCGATCTTACAACCCCTCGTAGCACGGAATCCTTCTCAAATGCTTCGTAAAGCAAGAACCGTAGCAGTTAGTGTCTGAACACTAAAACAATTACAGCGCCATGGGGGGGGGGCTGCCCCCCCCAACCACCCCCGCGCCACGAAATCTGCACCTCATCTCATTCCCTGCGCCTGCCACTCATTTGCTTTGCACTTGAAATCTGCACTGCGTACGTGACCGCCACACAAGCCGACGTCCGACAAGCTCGGCGCGCAGCAGAATGGGGATGGCCACGACTACTACGACTTCCTCGTAGCACAGGATCCTTCTTTAAGGCCTGCAAGAAGGGTTCGAGGAGGGGGGAGGGGCCACGACTACTACATTTTTCCCAGTTCGAGGGGGCGCGTGGCCACGACTACTACTGCTTTTGGGAGGCCACGACTACTACTACTTCCTCGTAGCACAGGATCCTTCCTTAAGGCCCTCGTAGCGCAAGATCCTTCTTTAAGGCCCTTGCGGCGCAAGATCCTTGTAAGAAAGGTTCGAGGAGGGGGGAGAGGCGCGACTACTGCTACTCTTCCCAGTTCGAGGGGGGAGGGGGGCCACGACTACTACCACTTCCGCAAGATCCTTCTTTAAGGCCCTCGTAGCACAGGATCCTTCTTGAAGGCCTGTAAGAAGGGTTCGAGGGAGGGGGGTACTACTTTTCTCAGTTCGAAGCGGGGCGGGCCACAACTACTACTACTTCCTCGTAGCACAGGATCCTTCTTTAAGGCCCTCGTAGCACAGGATCCTTCTTTAAGGCCCTCGTAGCACAGGATCCTTCTTCATGGCCTGTTAGAAGGCTTCGAGGAGGCGGGGGCACGACTACTACTGCTTTTCCCAATTCGAGGGGTGGGCCACGACTATTAATACTACTTTCTCGGGGGCGTCCTGCATAGAGAGATGTGTTGCGAAGTTGGGAACAGCTCTATGGGCCTACTGGCCCTGCTGCTAAAATATCTCTACTGATCTGATTGTGGTTGGATGGGTTTTCACACACTCGAGATATTGCCATATTCCTAAAGAAAGTTATGTACGGGGGTCTGCGCATCCTGGAGGCCCAGCCGAGAAAAGGGAGAGAGGCCCAAATCTCGAAGCTCAAGGTCGACGATCGCGTTGCGACAGGATGACGTGCGCAAATCTGCAGAATGCATTAGCCCTTTATGGAAGATTGGAGAGCAGCTTCGAGAACGTCACAACAGAGCAGGTACGTCACGGTGATCAGCCGTGATATCCGCGTGTACTGTGGCCGCTTCGTTGAACCATCGCTCACAGCACATTGATGGTCCTCCTGCTAAATTCTAAAATCAACGGATGCTCTGTGATTCCAAGGGTTTCACACGCACGCCCCCGGCGTGGGGGGGCGAAAAGCTAAGGGGCAGACAAGCGTGCGCGCGCGCCAGAAAACCAAAACAACGAAGAAAGGAAAAGGAGACAAAACAAAACCAGTGTGTGTGTAACCCTTGGAGTCACACAGATCCATTTGGATTGTTTCGGTTCGTTTGAAACAGTACACAGAAGGCGGACGCAGCAGACGCAAGGGACTGCGCGTAACAAAGCTACCTTGCATCTGGGAAGCCAGGTCTGATCAACCTGGTGTACCTGCTTTTGAGAACCTAAGTATGGCGAAAGCTGTCCAATACGTTGTTTCTGCACTCCGTCTCCTTAAGTTTTTTACCTAGGCCGGCGTGTGGCAAACGCACCGCATCCGCGCGCATTTCTATAAGCGTGCCTCTTCCCAGTGAGAGCCCAGGGTGGCCCCGACGAGTGGCCCCTGTAGACCCGTTGAACGGGGGTTTGTCGAACGTATCCCCTGCCTTGGATACAGTGCAGCTCGCAGCGAGCGTAGGTGGCTTACGCCAAAGTTATGTGTCAAGACTTAGTGGTTTATTGAATTCTAAGTAGGCAGTCTTCGGACACGCCATGAGGTGATCAGAGCGGTCTCAAGCTGCCCGCCATTTTGGCATGGCGCAAGGTGACCAGGGCGGTCAAAGCAACTTTAGGTTCACTGGAACCTGTCGGGACGCACTTCATTCCTTCTTTCTTTTGCGCACACATCGGTCCTGGCCTTAGTGTGTACGTGCACAACATGTACTTCTAACCCAGGTTTCAGGTCGCCCAGGTTTGATAATGCGGTGGGGTTCATTGTTTGTCCCTGTGCATTTGGTTCCTTTTCATCGCAAGTTACACTTTTGTCCAGTCTTGTCCTCTTTTCATGTCTTCATCCTTTTGTCCGTGTTGCGCGCACACGTGTGCATTCGCCTTCACCTTAGTTCTTCGCCTCCCCTCGGGGAGGCGTGTGTGTGTAACCCCTGGAGTCACAGGGGTCCATTTGGATTGTTTCGCTTCTTTTGAAACAGTGCGCAGCAGGGGGGCGCAGCAGATGCGACCGTGCCCAACAAACCTACCTTGCATCTGGGAAGCCAGGTCTGATCAACCTGGTGTACCTGCTTTTGAGAACCTATAGGTAGGCAAAAGCTGCCAATGCGTTGTTTCTGCCTTCCGTCTCCTTAGGTTTTTTACCCAGGCCGGCGTGTGGCAAACCGCACCGAATCCGTACGCATTTCTATAAGTGTGTGTGGTTGCGATGACAGGGAAAGCAAGCGCACAGGGACAACCAGTGAACCAAGCCTCAATATCAAGACCTGGACAACCTGAAGCCTGGGTTGTAAGTGTGCGCGTACATGCTAAGGGCCGGACTGTTGCGCGCGCAAAGGACTGTTGCGCGCGCAAAAGAAAGAACGGAGTGAGATGACGGAACATGAAGGCAAAGAAGGCATGAAACGAAAAGGAAAGAAAAATAATGTGTGTGAAGGGGAAAGGATGAAGGGGGCACCAAATGGAGGGGCCGGAAACCAACGAACCCAAACCTCATTAGAGCGAACCTAAGTAGACCTAGCCTTGTTTAAGAGTGTGCACGCTGTGTGTGCGCGCTTAAGGCTCCGACAGACTCCACTGAGTCTAAAAACAGCTTTGACCGCTTTGGTCACCTTGTGCCATGCCAAAATGGCGGGCGACTTAAACCGCTACGGACACCTCTTGGCTTGCCCAAAGGTTGCCTACCCGGTTGCAATTCAATAGTCCATCAATTCTTGGCGATGCCTTGGCGCAAGCCTACTCCGTCCGCTCCGGACACATCCGTTTCCTAGCAATGGCAAAATAGTCAATCCCTTGCTCAGCAAGGCCACGAGGGGCACTCTTCGGGCTCACCCGGGCTCCCACCAGACAAGACACACTCAAGATATTCTAGCGTACTGACTTAAACGCCATTCGCCACACGGCAACCTATAGGTAGCCATCTTCCTAAAGAAAGTCATGTAAGGGGGTCTGCGCATCCTGGAGGTCCAGCCCGAAAAAAGGGAGAGAGGCCCAAATCTCAAAGTTCAAAGTCGACGATCACGTTGCGACAGGATGACGTGCGCAAATCTGCAGAATGCATTAGCCCTTTATGGAAGATTGGAGAGCAGCTTCGAGAACGTCACAACAGAGCAGGTACGTCACGGTGATCAGCCGTGATATCCGCGTGTACTGTGGCCGCTTCGCTGGACCATCGCTCACAGCACATTGATGGTCCTCCTGCTAAGTTCTAAAATCAATGGGTGCCCTGTGATTCCAAGGGTTTCACCGACAAACATTATAGAATCAGAACAACTGGCCAAGCATCAACGGAGGCAATACGCATGTCCTGCGTGCAGCATGACAGGGGCTGACAGTGGCACAAACATTGAAGCACGCATAAGCGCGTGCTAGTGATGTTGTTTTCTTTGTCCCAGTTTCATTGCATGCAGTAGTCATCGTCATCATGCATCAATTGTATTGACTTTGATGATGCTTACAGTAACTTTAGTTTCTGTACTGTCATAAGGCTGCTGCTTCCAGTCTGGCTGTCTGGCAGTTTCTGGTATTATGTTGCTTTGGGGGGATATGGGTCAGCCATAACCCTTCTTTCTAGACGAAGACCGTGACTGGAAACAGGTCCTACAAATCGTCAGCCATACGGGCCATACAAATATATCGCTTTTGAATCATGACCACGGGTTTTTGGTCAACTCAGCTGCGGCATGCTGCTGACGGTCCCAAATGCCTCGCCTCCTTGAAGTTTTGTAGACCCAAGCTCGTTTGCTCCACCACAATCCTGTACCAGAAGCCGCAACAGCGTGACTGCTCATGCGAACCTGCAAAAAAACATATTGGGAGAATTCCTGTCATCATTACCCAAGATCGCGCCTCTTGGCACATTGGCTGCAAAAGTAGTGGGGGCACAGTCTCTCGAGGTTCATCAGGAAAACACCTACGTTGCTTTGATGCTTCAAAGGCGGACTCTGGGCCCCACCCATGAAAGTAGTTGGATCATTGGATCTATCATGTGCCAAGTCTGCAAGACCACCTCAGCCACTCAAATGAAAGAGAGAGAGAGAGACACCTATGCCTATATACCGTATTCAATCTTGCATGAGTAGAATCTGCGCAAGTCACGAACGGCATCAAAAGGCCACGGGTGTTCACAAAGGTGGCGGCCCCTCCAGGCAGAAACATGCTGCAAAGAGGCTGGGCTCCGCATCCCACAATGGTTCCAAGCCTGTTCTGGGCTTACGGGCTGTCCCCAACACCCACAATCAAAGCCACTAGGGACGAGAACAAGACATAGTGAGGTCCGTTGGGTTCCAGGCTCAGTTGTAATATCATCCCAAGACCAAGTGAGGTTGTCTAAGCCCCTTTGTCTTGTTTACATCTATTTGCAGTACATCTATCTGCCACTGGCGTTCAATGTTCTTCGTTGTCATTTTACGGTAATTAGAAGGAGCCTCCTTTTGGCAAAATGGACATGCGAAGACTAAATTTGTGAGTCGGCCGTTTTATACTCTCTCACCTACACGCCTCATTCTTTTCTTGCTCTAGAAGACAAGGGGTCTCTCCGAGCCACACGACAACAACAAGTTGCCAGAACAACAAACAGTTTCAACCAGTTGCGATGCTTCAGAGATCAGAGTATTTACTGTTCAAGTCGGAATATGAGACTACTGTCAGCTTTCAACAGCCACTGAGACAAATGACAAATGAATATCGAACAAAGCGGATCCCTTTTCTGGACTTGTAGCTTGCCAAAAAGATGGACTCAAAATAGAACATGTATATCATGCTTGGTGCAAGTGCCTGACTCAAGACGGTCTATCCTTTTGACAAACACGACATAAACATATGCCAAAGCTGTCCTCATCTTAGGTCTCCGTAATTTTTCCAACATAGATCTCCGCCGCTTGTCACCAAAACTGTTTCCACTTTGTCCGCCCAACAGTCCAATGCGACACAGCAGCAAATACAGCAGCACTGCAGGAGCTGTGGATCTTCTGTTAAGGCCTTTGAGGGGATTGTCACTGGATTATGTCATTTCGAGGGGAGTGTAACTGTATTTTGTGGAATGACGATGAATCACACCCGAACTGCAGGTGAGCGGAGTTGAATCAATAATAGCCTCAAGAAAAGGGCGTTAGTAACACAACATCTACGGTACATCAAAGCACTCGTCTGCAACCGCAACGGCAACCTCGGCGGAGGCTAACTGAACGGAGAATTTAGGCTCTTAAACTCTGTGACCCCAAGTCACTGTCCCAAAGGTTGTAGTAGAAGCTTACGCCCACTTTTAGCTCCACTCCAAGCGTGAGCTCTTGTAGTGAAATGAACACAAAACTAAACCACAATCTTGAACAAACGGCTGCAGTGAAACATACATCTATACAAGCTATGTCATGTACATGTAACTGGTGCTACATCTGATCACGCCTCCCGAGTTTAACATCTCCCAGAAGTTAAGCGAGTCAGGATTAGCACTTCGGTGAATTAGCTCGTAGCCCTTCAGTACCTCTTCAAGACCAAGATGTACCTACTCTAGCTCAAGCCGTTCACGCTTTCAAAGTCAGTTCATGCTCACCTTCCAAGTAGTGGAAGTTCATACCTTTCATGGCTGTTGTCATTTTCTCCTCGGTGACAGCTTTCGTTAGCACATCGGCCAACATTCGGTCGGTGCCTTCCTTCTTGAGACGAAACTCTTTCTTTGCTGTGCGCTCTTGTACCCAGTGGTACTGAGTGTCAACATGTTTAGCTCGTCCCAAGCCTCGACGGTTTCCCATGGCGATGCCAGCGGAAGCGTCCATTGTCACCTCTTTGCTGGGAAACAATCCCCAGTCTCTTGCTGTTGATGCGATTCCAAGCATTTGACATGCTCCGGAAACAAGTCCGTAGTACTCGGATTCGCCACTGCTCAGGGAGACAACTCCTTGGCCTTTGCTGTACGTAGTGAGACAGCATTTGTTGGCCATGAGCACGCCTCCTGACACACTCTTTCGTGTCCTTATGCAACCTGCATGGTCGGCGTCTGACCACATGTTGAAGGGGTTGCAGGTGCTTTGGTTTGGAAACAACTGTGCAACTCTTGGTCGATACCTGACATATCGAGCCAATCGTTTCAGCATATTCCAGTGCCTCGATGTTGGATTCTGTAGACCGTGTGCCAACGAGCGCGTTGCAGTCTGTAGATCAGGTCGATCTTGTGCCAAATACGCGGCTCTCATAGCAATAGATCTATACATCGTTGCCGGAACTTCTTCATGTTGGAGTTCCTCTTGACTTGGCTTGGCCAAAGGTGTCTTGACCTTGCCTGGTTGACCAGTGCCTAACCACTTGATGATCAACTCTGCATGTCTTGGATCTGGTTCCCACCAAATGCCTTCATTTGACCAGGTGATGATGCGATTCAGCACTCTGATCTGTTGACTTGCTTTTGGTGAACCTGGTGGACCAAGAATGCCTCGTTCCACAACTTGCCATTCTTTGGCTGCTGAAGTGTGAAACCATTTGATGTCATCAAAACTTCCAACTGTCGTGAAATCGTCTCCATGTACTTCTGTTCGAAGTTCTCTGGATGCATGGTAGTAGATGCATGGATTGGACTTGCCTTGAACAAATCCTAGCTTTTTCATAAACTCTGCAATGGTCAGCTCCCAATTCATAGGTGCGTCTCTGGCGCCGTAAAGGCTTCTGACCAATCTTCCTACCACATCTCCATCTTCAGGTTTCTTGCCTTCTGATGGAATTTCAACATAGAGTTCTCTTGTTGCTTTGGAGTAGAAATGAGCTCTCTTCACATCTAAAAATCCTAGAAAAGATTGTTTTGCTTTTCTTCTCTCGCCTTTCTCCAATGGAAGGCTGTCGCTGACTGCAATGGTTAGCAGTAGCTTCAATGCTGCAAGGCTCGGCATAGCTGCGAAAAAATTCGTCAAAACCTGAGCCTCTTTTGATCTCTTGCGCTACCAATCGACTTCTGTAGAGAGGATTGGTTTCATCTTGCTTGTTCACATCTACCCATCGAGTTCCAATGATTTTGGTTCCTTTTGGAACTTTGCTTCTTGGAATCTTCTCCCAGACTCCCATTGATTCGACAATGTCGATTTCATCTTTTCTCGCTTTCTCTACCTTCTCAGGTAGCAGCTCTTTTCCACTGATGTCATCATAGTACCACCAGTCTTTTGCCTCTTCTGCCATTTTTTCTGGCAGTGGGATCTTCTCTTCACACACTGGTTTCTCTGGGTCGATGCTAGATAGCACCCTCTCTCTCTGTCTTCTAGGATTAGGCTTTCTAGAGCCATCTCAATGCTCTGGATGTCTCTTGTTCTCTCGGCTTCATCTTCATGTTCGCCTTCTGCCTTTCTCTTCTTGTCTCTATCTACTCTGGCTTTTGCTGTGGGTGATCCTGCTGGTTCATGTTGTTCTTCGTGTTCTCTCTTTTCTCCATGTGGTTCAGGTTCGCGTGGTCTGCGAACACCTGATGCTGAAGCTGATGCTGTGCCTGGTGTTGGTGGTGCTGCTTCTGGTTCGTACCAAAGTTCTGTCACGATGTCCATCTTGTGTGGTAATGCTCCATTGAGTATCTCTGGTGGAAGGTCTGTTGTCATGACTCCACTCTCGATGATTGCATTGTTTGCATGGTTTCTTGTGACTCGGTGCCAGACGGTAGACCAATCAGGTCCTCCTGGCATGGTGGTTTGAAAACAGTAAGCTTCGACGTCAAGTCGTGCGAATACTCGACATGAATCGGGAACTCCCGATGGTCTTTTGCTTTCATATCCTTGAAGGATTTGAGGTCTCTTGCCACTGACTGGTTGTGGCATGCCAGTGATTGCCTCTCCAACTCGGCTTTCATGTCTTGCCACTCTTGGGTTCTCTTCTTCTTCTCCTCTGATGCACTCTTCAAGTCTGTCTCGACACCTGTTGGTGTGATGGATGCCTGTAGATCTCCTACCAATCTGTGTGGCATCACAAGCTGGGCAACCTGCAGTATACCCAAACTTTTCCAGGTCTTTCTTGGTGATGTAAAGCCTTCTCAGCTTTCTTTTCTTGTCATCAATTGCCGGTGGTTGGACTAAAGCTTCACCACTTGGGCTGGCAATGATTGGTTCCCTTGGGGCTGCAATCGCTGGTTCTTCGCGAATTGCTTGAGGATCCCAGGGAATCCCAGTGATCGATTTCAGCAACTCTAAATCATATCGATCTTCTTCTGGCTTTCTTCGGATGGATTGCACTGTGAAAACGCCACAGGTGTTTCCTACTATCTTCTCTGTGGTGGTGTCTTTCACTCCTAGAAAAATTCCTTTGGTCCATTGGGCCTCGAACTTGTGACCTCTCTTGAGGTATTCGATGGCCTCACCAAATGGTGGAATTGCTACTTTCCATTCACGTCCACGAAGTCGTGAATACGGAGTCTTTCCGTCTTGAAGTTCGGTAGATCGGAAAAACAGATTGTAGACTGTGGATGCGTGTTCGACCAACCAAGTCAAAACAGGTGAATCGTCAGGAAGTTTCTCACCATAGTTCGACTCGATTGCGGCTCGAAGAGTTCTGGCTTGTCCTTCCAAGGTTTGAACAGCTCGTTCAATCTCTCCCTTAGATTCTTTGACTCCTTTCGGGCTCTTCTCGATGATCAGGGTTCCTTCAAACCCATTCTTTACTGCCTCAACAACGGAGGTGAGAGCAGGTTCAGGATCATGTCGAATGATCAGTTTGGAGTATCCTAGTTTCTTGATGTCGTTCAAAAGTACTTTGGATCCATATGGACCTTTTGTCACACCTTTGTAGGGCAACACATGAGCAAAAAGATGCTTCGTCCATCGATCTCTGACAACAAGGATGGGTGCATGAGTCTTCTCATCCAAAACTACATCATCAGTTCGTGAATTCATGAAACAGTAGTCTACAGTTACAACTGGTGTTGTTTCGTCGGTGTGGTCTACTCTTCTGTGTGGGTTCGCCTTGGCCTTTCCCCTAACACAGGCCTCACACCAAGAACGAAAAGGGAAGTGTGAAACAACGTGTTCCTCGAGCTCTTTTCGCGTTGGGCGAACTGGAGCGTTGATCTTGAGCTCAGGCGGGATTTCATCGCCTGGCTCGGCCTCGCCGGCTTCAAAATCTGCCGGGGCCTCTTCGTCCACTACCGGACTTACCCACTTCGGTGCCGGCTGAAATGGTGGAACACGATCGGCACGGAGTAAACTCCGTTGCAAAAGGAAATTGGGATCTTCTTCCCATCTCGTGCAATGTGTCCTCCAGTCTTGCTCATCTGGATGGACCAGCCCTTGTCTGCGAGGGCTCCTGCAGAAAGCAACGGCTTGGCGACAGCCATCACCCGAAAACTGCAGCGTCCCTTCAGGGCATCTTTGCCGGTGCCAATCGTCACCTTGGCATCGACCTTGCCGAGATCCTTGACGATCTCGCCCGAGGCGGTCTTGTAGACCTTGCTGGTGCCTTCAGGCTGGATAGGCTTGTAGCCCAGTGCTTCGGCAAGTTCGACAGGGATGCAGGAGGTTGCGGCTCCTGAATCCAAGGTCACCTGATGAGCCATTGGCGTCTCCATGGATGCCAGCTCCAAACTCTTGAGAGCGAGTGGGTCTTCATCGCCTTCATCAGGCTCACTTGAGGGAGTGGGATATCGCTTTCCCTTTCCCTTCTTGGCCTCACGGGCAGCATCCTGAGTGGCCACGTTGACAGCTCGAGTCAACTGCACTTTCCTCTGCTTGCCCTTTCCTTGGCCTTTCTCGGAGGCAGCCGGAGCCGAAGTGGCTCGGCTTTTGCCCGGGGATCGTGACCGGGACTTCAGCCGAAGCGTCTGCCTTGGCGCCTCGCTGGATTCCTCTTGCTTGGGTCCTGGTCCACGGAATCGCTCCATGTGCTCTTCAGTCGAGCTTTTGAACCAGGCCATGCGCTCCTCCTTGGTCTTGCCTTTCTTCTCAGGAGGTGGAGGTGTCTTGGCGATGCGCCTTTGCTTTGGCGTCTTTGGGCCAACCTCATCTTCCTCCTCCTGTTCTTCCATCATCTTCTGCATATGGGCAGTCATGTAGAAAGGACCTCCTTTCTTGACAGTCTCAAGCTTTGGATCTGATGCGCTTTCCCATCTCTTTCTGCTTGATCGTCCATTCCTTTGCCCACTGGTTGAGGACTTTTGGCGGGCAACAATTCAAAGCCATATGATGGTTCCATAGGCCGGTGTCATTGTCACACCTCAGGGCCTTGTTGCACGCACGGCAGACCATATTCTTGCTGCCATCTCTGTTCTTGTGGGCGCATTTGGCTACCCATTCATCATAGCTGAGGATGCGCTCTTGGAACATGTGATCGAGCCATGGCACAGTGTCTTTCTCCTTTTCTTCCTCTTGTCCATCTGACTCATCGTCAGCTGGCTCAGTGCCATTCTCATCCTCTTCAACTTCATCTTCAAATTCGTCTTCCTCCTCAAGTCCCTCGATCTCAGTCACATCAAGAGGATTGATGTTCTCCATGACTGGAGCTGCGAAGGATGGTGCGCTTGTTGCTCCTTCGCCTTGGCTTTCGACGCGCTTCATCACAACATAGTCCTCTGGGTTGAACCCAGCTGCAGTAAGCGCCTTGTCGATGACACTGCGGGCTGGATGGCTAGTAGCCGTCCATGTCTGGCTTTCCCGCTTCATCTCTGCCAACTCTTGAGTGGAGAGATCCTCGATCTTGGGCTCCTTCTCTTTTGGCTTTTCAGGCTTCTTTGCCTTTCCTGGCTTCTTGTAGCCACGATGCCTCTGGGCCTTTTCTCGACCTCGAGGTTGAGGGGCTTCATCAAATTTTCCCTCATCATCTTCATCATCCCAAGCTTGAAGTCGATCAGTACTCTTGGCACGAGCAATCTCATAGTAGTCGAGCTCCTCAGGGTAATTGGCCTCATAGTCGCGCCAGGATTCGAAACGATCCTGGGCCTTCTCAACGCGATGCTGCTCGGCGCGCTGACGGCTCTTCTCTTTCTTCTTGGCCAATCTTGGGTCCATACCTGATGCCAAATCAGCTGAGAGCCTTGGCGACTCCGCCGGAACCGAAGCGGCGCGGCGAGGAGTTGGTCTCTTCAGCAAGATCTTGGCTTCTCTCTCCTTTTCTTCATACTGTTCTTTCAGCCTCTTCATCTCGGCCTGTTGTTCCAAGATGGCGTCATTGGCTGCTTTGCCTTTGGCTTCGGCCTCTTCGATGGCCTTCTGGATTGTCTCAGACTTCTTCTCATACAGTTCACGATTGGACTGCATGGTCTCTTGGATTGCTTGGTTCATGACTGCAATCCCAGCAGCTGCAATCCCAGGACGACCTTTTCCAGCTCCTGGCTTCTTTGGCATAGCTTTGACGTCAGTCTCAGCTTTTGCCTTGGCTGCTCCACGAGAAATTGCGGCAGGCGCCGCTTTCTCCATCTCGATGGCAAAGAGGGTGGCGATGTCAGCGGAATACTCAGGCTCGGGTTGATGCTCTTGAGCCATAGAGGTTTCACATTCCTCAACTGATGCTACCTTCTTACTTTTACTCTTGCCTTTACCTTTAGAGTCTTTTCCTCTGCCACCTTTGCCTTTACCCTTGGAGCTTTGGTTGTACCAGCTATTCCTGTTCCAATCATTCCTATACCCATCGTTCTTGTTCCATGAGGTGTTCCATGACGAGGGATTGGACCATGAAGAACCTTTCCCCTTCTGTTTACCTTTGTCGTTTCCCTTGCCTCCATCTTGACTCTTTCCTTTTCCTTTGCCGCCTTTTGAGCCACCTTTGCCTTTTCCTTTGGCTTTAGCCAGACTTGCAAGTGAAGCTTGCATCTGGCTGGCAGCTGCGGCTAGGGCATCAACATCCATTGGTGCTGATCCAGTCTTTGCTTCTTTTCGGCTCTCGATGTTCTCGAGGTAGGCCAAAATCTCTGACTTCATGATGGCGTAGTCAGTGAGTCTTGAACTCTGGAGGTCAAGGTGATCTTGAAGCTTGGCTGGGCACATCTGCTGAAGACAACTTCTTGCGATGTCATCATCAAGAGCTTTCTTCTTTCGCTCTTCATACTTTCGCCTGATGTTTTCCCAGGCTTCTATGCTCTCTCTGAGCTTGTCCAATGCGCACTGTTGTGGGTGCAGGACCTTCTTCAGCAAAGCTGAGTTTGCTTGTGGGTTCTGTGGATCATACTTGGTGATCAATCGTCTCAATGCCTCTAGGCCAAAGTGCTGACCTCTGGGGGTATTCTTGACAATCTCGAGGGCTTCTCCCTCACATAGTGAGATCAGAGCCTGTCGGGCCTGAGCTGAAACAAGCTCGGCTCCTTCAGGATAATCATCTTCCAGAGATGTCTCATTGATCTCTGTATCTTGATGCTCTTCGAGGAGCTGAATGCACTTTCCTGCATTCTTGTGACTTGTCTCAATCCAAGTCTTGAACTTGAAGTACCATGAATCCCAGGTACCTGTGTGTCCACTGAACTTGTCAGGCTTTGGAGTGCCTTTCAACTCGGATCTGTCTCTTACTTCTACGCTAGTGGCTATGTTCCTTGTGATTGCCGTTTGTTGTGTATATGCTTCTGCCATTGCTCGTTGCAATTGGCTCTGCCCCTGTGCTAGGGCTTGCATCATCTGTGCAAATTGTTGTGCCATGTCTGTGGCTTGTGGTGCCTGTGCTCCTGGCTGTTGCGCCATGCTGACTTGCTAGCCAGGGATTGAAGCAATCCGGCTTTCCTGCAAGTGATGCTTGTTTTGTGGATCTCCGGTGCCGGAGCCGATGCGGCTCGGCAACCTTTGATTCGCAGACGGTAGCCGGGTCTTAGAACCGCGGCTCCGCTACCATGAACGGAGAATTTAGGCTCTTAAACTCTGTGACCCCAAGTCACTGTCCCAAAGGTTGTAGTAGAAGCTTAGGCGCACTTTTAGCTCCACTCCAAGCGTGAGCTCTTGTAGTGAAATGAACACAAAACTAAACCACAATCTTGAACAAACGGCTGCAGTGAAACATACATCTATACAAGCTATGTCATGTACATGTAACTGGTGCTACATCTGATCACTAACGGACTTGGTTATATTCCATACTTGCAAATCAAAAGGTCACCGCCAAATTGCATCAACCTACCAAGACTGAATAGGGCGGATGCCATGCCTCACAGTCTCCTGGCTCTTGCAGCCAGCTTGGCACAACCTGGCCATCTACGGCCATGAATCTGAGAATGTGGGTCATGGTGAATTCCGGTGTTTGCTTCCCAATGGAAGCGCAAATTATCTGCTGCCAAGTCATTTGTTTGATGTCATGAGATGGAGTATGGCGAGCAAGGATTTAGGAAACATACATTGACATAACACATTACTCTGCTGGATGGTGAGCCAAGCGATCTACAAAAATGGATTGATTGCAGGATTTCCTGGCCGAATCCGATCCTTAAATCCAAACCTTTGCTGCAAACTCTTGCCAGGATTCCTAAAGACTTGTCGCTCTCTGCATGCGAAGTATCCAAATGAGATCAAACGGTAGCAGAGTGTCGCTTTGCCTCTTGCTTCTTTGGATGAACCTGACAGTAATTAAATTAGGGCAGACGTCTACACCTCCGATCATAAAATATAAGAAATCATATGATTGCATTTATTTAGAAAAGTAACTCCCTGTGATTGCATACGGAGAAACAAAACTCTTGATAAACCAAACAAATTGTTTGGCCACCAGCTTGTCACGGTGTTAAAAACCCAAACGGCACTGCAACCATAACCAGGATGCACTGGTTTGTTCAATATCAGCTCCAAAATGCCAATGTCATGGACAAGAAAACTATACAAACTCTCCAGTCAGCAGTTGCCCGGATGCGGATATGTGAGGATATGCATGCCCTCGAAATATCTCTTATGATCAGCTTGGCAGCGAGAGACAGGCAAATCCAGAGCGCTGACTTCCGAAGATTCAGTGTACTTTCTGCACAAACACACAGTATGGTATCTTAGCTGGGACCACAAACGTTGGATTCCACCAAAACTTGTGGCCTTGCTCTCGAACTCCAAAGTGTCTATGCTGTGCTGGCAACTTGAAGCGGTCCGTTTGATATGTATATTCATATATACTGCACCTGAGAAGGGAGGGGACGAAAGCCAGCCCTGTAGGGATTGAGGAATCAATAATATATAATTAGAGAGTGAAGTTGAAGCTGCACTTACTTCTTACGCTTTTTAGCGACGGGAAAGCAGAAGGCAGAGATACGCAAAGTTTCACTCTGAGGCTCGGTATGATAGAGCCTATATACACAAGGCCTTTGCTAACCCCCATCCACTGTTGCTGGTCATGGGTTAGATTTGGATCCCACGCTCTTGTACAAATGTCCAACCCTCTTGGACAATTACAGGTCTGGGGGGTTGCCCTTCTTCTTCCGATTTCGGCTTCTTTTCACGCTAAAAAAGCTTAAGGGCACCCCCAGGTAACTATTCCAGGAAAACTATTGCATTCAACCTTTCCCTTGCAAAAAAGAACCACGTCAGTCACCGTGACTGTGATCAATGATTTCAACTCGGCTACTAGCCATGAACGTCAAGCAAGCGCTACTTTCCTTTCCCATCATTCTGAAAAGAATGCAGTGATCGTTTAGTCTCTTGTCCTATACTGGATTAGACACCTGGGGAGCTCACCTCCAGCAGACTTTAATAATCTACTGCACACTGTGTGATGCTGGTGCACTAATTACTCAGCATCATGTGCATCACTCGCATCACCAAGACCCCCAAAGACATACATGTTCACTACCTTCTGTGCCACCTCTTTTTTTGCTCTCCCCCACCAGGATCTGCGTTCACCCTCGTTATATTATATACTGTACTTATATATATATACATATGTACATTGTGCGTTAAAAAACACTTCTTAAATATACTTTCATCAATTGCACAACTTCGATTAAATTGCTTCAACAATGCCTCAAGCTGTAGGGCAGTTCGTGCAGGGACCGACCTGACACCAACGAAACAGCTCCCCTTCCCAATTCGTTAGCAAGCAAACCAACTGTGCTGGAATCAGAAAGTCAAAAAAGAAGCACCTTGACTGGGTAAATGTTATATCAACATACCTGGGTCGGTTTGTTTTAAGCGCCCTCTATTGCCTTGCCAAAACCCGACTGAACCAGTCGATATGGTGACCATTGGCGCTTGGATATGCTTCTAGCAAGGCCGCCCCGGCGCTAAAATGCTAAAAAAACTGTAAAGATCGATCGCACAGTGTCACATGGCAATGCATAGCACATGGCGCGAAGATTCTGGGCATCCAACATTCGAATCTGAGGATTTTCCAGTCCATGCCAGGGAGATCGCCACCCTTGTGAGGGAGGAAGATGGGCCTTGGAGCGAACGAATGGGAGCTCCATGGGTCCATGGAGCTGCAGAAATATGATTTACTGTAGACTTCATGGAGCTCCAAAGATTATCCATCTTATCCAAACACCCATCTTATTCGACCTTATCCAAAGCTCTCCCTTCTTCTAAGGTCTTTTGTTTTGGGCACTTGACTCAACATGAAGCTGGTTAGCTCATTAAAGCGCTTGGGTGTGAATTAATGTTGATTCTTGGCTCGTCATCATGAGGCTTCGACGTTCTCTGCATTGTAGCCCCAGACTTCTGCGCCACCAACAATGGGGCCAAGCCACCAGCCGCACCTCATACGGCTAGGAGCATTGGATATGGAGGGAGTTGGATTTGTACTGCCTTGACTCTAGACAAACTATGCCTGGAGCATCGATGAACATTGTGAGCAGGTGAAGTCACCTAGTTAGTCCTGACACGAACTGCACAATTGAGCCATTCAGTGCAAGTGTTTCATGCATCTTCTGAAAGACGCACAATTGCACAAGCCAAGCATATGGCATAATAATATATATAGATCAGAATAGACTGCTGGTACTGCTTCCAGCAACAAATGGCGTGTAATCTCGTGTAAAAGCAGCCACACATGCAGGAACTCAGTTTTTTGAGAGAAGTCTAAGCCGAAGGAGGGATGAACTTTCTTCAAATCATGATCTTGCGCACACTTTGTCTGGGTCTCCTTTTTTGTCGAAGCTTCGGGCCAGAAAGGACTTGAAAGGACACAAAGCAAAACACATCCAAATTATACCTTTAGCCAGGATTCCAGGTTGCACCATCTCGATCATCCCAGAAATAGATGAACGGTCCTGGACACGGCAGCAAGGATCGTATCTCTGACTTCTTTGTGGGCATTAGGATTAGCAAAGACGAGTGAAATGTGTTGGATCTCTGGCGAGTGAAAGGTTCCCCAAAAGTGAAAACCGGCACGCGCAACAACATGCCAAGTCTTCATAATTGCCAAACAAAGAAACATCGGAGTCCTCCTAATGAGATCACCATGCAGAGAGGAAAAAACTAAATAACAAGTGCGTGCGTATATAGCAAAGGATTATCTATCCATCTATCGATCGATCTATCTACTGTATCTATCTATCTGTATAAATATGATAATCTACACCTTAACTTGCCGTGCTTCGAAACTTGATGCATCACTTGGTTCGCAGCGTCCTGCACCGCCGAGCCGTTCGAAAACGGGACGGCCATGGTGCTCCTTGGTGCCGTCGCTGAAATGGCCATACATTAGGTTGGAGGGCCATCGCTCTTAGGGTGGAGGCCATCGCGCTCAGGGTGGAGGCCATCGATAATGGCTGAAGGCCATCGCTATTAGGTTGGAGGCTATTGCTCTTAGGGTGGAGGCC